GTCGGTTGACCAGGCTCCAACAGATGAACCCACACTAAAAGGCATTTGGTGACACAAATTTGACTCTACAGAAATAGAGTCATGCTTTTTGTCATAATGGTCCCCAAGAGGATTAAGACCCAAATTCAATCACAGGTCCTTAGTATGGGGGCCACTCCAAGAAGGAGCATGCGTGAGGAGGGGCAGGCAGGCTGGCAGACTTAGTGCTTTCATGCAACCCTGGGAAACCTTGGCAATTTTCCTCTCAGCACCCTGGGGAGCAGGTTGCAGGATCCTGGGCACCCAGTCCCTCAGTGCAGAATGAGTTCCTGATGCATGCACACACAGGTACAAAGCACTGCAGTGACCACGCAGCAATGGCTGCAGCTGGACTTCTGGTGAGTCCTGACCCTGGCTTCTTGCCCATGAGGACTTGGTTCTAACTGACCTAGTCTGCAGCCCCTAGAGACACTGGTACTTGTCAGCTTTCTCTCTGGATGCAGGAAGGTGCTTATCTCACATCTGCAATTCTCCAACCAGGAAAGGTATTCAGACTTAGACAGATTCTTCCCCAGTGTGTGTTTTTCCTGCAGAGGGGATGAGCGAGCCCAGGAGGCAGGTTTGTGCTTGGACAATACCTTCTGCAATGGTAGGAAGTAGGGTCCCTGTTGAGCTCCTCAGGATCCCAAGCAACTGTGTTTGTGGCTGGCAAGGAGAGGGGCAAGGTGAGCAGGTGGGAACACACAAACAGAGGAAGTATGTGTTTCAAGAAAACACAGGATGCAGAGGATGCTGACCCCACAGTGTGAGCACAACCGTGGGTGTGGGGATGAGGAAGTGACTCCTGCATGCTTCGGGATCTAAGCTAAAAAGACACAGAGACATAGGTTAAGGGCCAGTCCTGCCTACGTGGGACTGTGACCACCATTTCCTGGCCAGAAAAAGGGACCTACTCGGTCAGCAGGAAGCCGCCACTGAAGAAAGCTGACTAAGAGGAGAGAATGCTTTGTAAGTCCAGGACACGTGGCATTCACTGTTATTCTCCTTCAGAGTGTCAGCTCTGCATAAGACAAAAGGCAACATGGTAGGTGACGACATCAAAAGGAAACAGGAATGGTGATGTTGACATGCTGACTTGGATGAGGGGAAGGATGTAGATTCTTGGAATAAAACTCAGTCCAGCATCCTAGAACCTGTTGGAAACACCCTGTGAGGACACTAGCTGCCCCGGGTCTCTTGAGAGGCCCTGACCACTCCAGGCAAAGACCCCAGACAAGCCAGCTCTTTTATCAGCCATTATTAATTCTTGTACTCAGTCAACCAGTGTTTACTGGACACCTATTGTGTGCGGGATCCTGTTGTAAAAGGTGTGATTACGACTGCAGTAAACCCAATAAAAGAGATGTACATGGTGCTATAAGGGCCTGTAACTGGCATATATAAGACACAGAATCAGCTGTATAAGGGCCCATGATCAAAACAGATGAACCAACCCGGTAAAACCACGGAGATGTTGATAATTGAGATCCAAAGAGTAAACAGGCATTAACCAAAGAAGAGAGGAGGAACAGCAGTCCAGGCACAAAGAACACTCTGTAAAGATTCCAGCACAGAACAGAAAAAGATATGTCAGTCAGCTTTTGCTATGTAACAAGTCACTCCAAAACTCTGTGGCTTAAGACAACAGTGATGCTTTTAGTCCTATGTTGAAGGTCAGAAATATGGCTGGGCTCAGCCAGGCATCTCTCTTAACTATCCAGGCCAGACTGTGGCTGGCATTAGCTAAGGGCTCCTGGGCTCTCCAGCTTGTGGCTTTTCATTCTCCAGCAAGTTGCACAGGGCTCAGTCTGAAGTGGGTGTGGGAGGACGCTGCTCCCCAGCATGGGTACAGGGAGGCATAAGCAAACTGAATGCTGTACAAGTCTACATCAGTGTGTTCAAGGGCTGGAATAAATATGGAGACTGAGTAAAGGGTAAAGAAAACAGGGCGTGGGATGAAGCTGGAGCACACAGGGCTGCAGAGACCAGCATGAGAGTCTAGGCTTCTCCTAAGTCCAGGAATGCTCTCCCATTTCTGTGACATGGGTTTGACGTGGGTGCTATAAGGGCCTGTAACTGGCATATATAAGATGTTTAAGTCCATTGTAAGGCTGTGGATATAGTTCAGCTGTCAGAGCACACACCAAGCCCTTGGTTTAACTCCCAGAAACATATAAACCAGATGTGAGAGGATCAGAAGTTCAAGGTCACTCTTGGCTACAGAAGGAGTTTGAGGCCAGCCTAGGCTACATGAGACCCTATCTGGAAGAAAAATCACTTGGAAGTCAAACATTCTTGGTACACTGGCTAAATTTGCAAGCTTGAGAAGGTGAGGGTGAGTTAGTCTACCTCACACATCCTTTCTGCATGGCCAGCACAGACACCCTAGACCTCCCATCCACGCCATGGTGCGTGCTTCTCCCCGAGCTGGGAGCAGCATTTTCCTTTTTCTGTGAAAGACCAATTCCTCTCTCCCCAAGACTCAATTTAGGCAGCACCACCATAAAGGGGCCCTGACTTCTGTAAGTTCCAAGACTAGGGAACAAAGAATGAGATCTTGAGGCCGAGGGACAAGTCTGTGGTCATCACAGCAAACTTGGGATTTCAAAGATCAAGTTGGTATGGGGCCCAGGCCTGCCCTTGTGGCACAACCTGTGGACCATCTATACTATGGTCATTTTTCTGCCTGTCTGCTTCCACTAGGTGGTGGTTTTCGAAGGAACACTCACAACCCCAGAACTTGCATAGGGAAGAGCCAGAAACACATGAATGAATACATTCATAACGGATTGCCTCCATCAGCAAGCAGCTTTCTCTGAAAGCCTTGGGAAGCTTTGTTGTAGGCAATGAGACCTGAGTGGAAGGGATGGCTGTAACTCTAGAACTGTGCTCGCACAAGCAGAAGTGTATCTTCCTTTCCTGTTTCTTCTTCTCAGTGTCTGGGATGCCATCAGATGATTATAACCAAGAATGTCTTCGAAGAAGCTCAACACAAAGATCCAGGGCCTCTGATATCTGAACACGTACCCTAGGATACCATTCCAGACTTGAATAGCTTATGCTTACTGAATGAAAATGGAAGAAAACAGCTTAGCTTGTCACCTCACACACATTAGGTTGGCTACTCAGGAAAGGAGGACAGAAAGGGAGGGGAAGAGTTGATAAGGATGTGGAGATACGGAAACTGTACACTGGAGCAATATAAATTAGTACAGGGGCTGCAGAGATGGTTCAGTGGTCAAGATCTCTTGCTGCTCAAGCAGGAAGACGGGAGTTCAGATGCCAACATCCACATAACAAGTCAGGTGTGGTCTCACCCCCGGCTCTGCAGTGCACAAAGACAAGATGGTTGCTGTGGCTTGCTGTCAACTATGAGCTCCAAGTACAGGGAGAGACCCTGCATCAAAGGAAAAAGGTGAAGAGTGATAGAGGGAACTTCCAACCTCCTCCTCTGGTCTCCCTTCAGATGGACACAGAGGTATACACACTCACATATGCATGTTTGCATTCACTACACACACATCACACACAAGTGCACACACGCACACACGCAAAAATAATAATAAAACAATACAGCCATGATAGAAAACAGCATGGCAGATCTTAAGAGAATAAAAAAAGAATTGCCAGGTGATCCAGAAATTTTCCTGAGTATATGCCCTGAAATACTGAGCAGCATCTTAAAGAAATATTTTTACCCTCTGTTCATAACATTGTGCAAAGTAGTTGAAACATGGCAACAGCCCAAGTGCCCACTGAAGATAAGCAAAATGTGATATATATATATATATATATATATATATATATATATTGGAATATTACTTGTCCTTAGAAAGGAAGGATATCCTGACATATTGTAGAACACAGATGATCCTTGACATTACACTTAGTGAAATGAGCCAGACCCCAAAGGTCAACATCACATGATTCCACTTACATATGGTAACTATCTCAGTAGTCGAAATGATATAGACAAAAAGTGGGATGGTTGCTAGGAGCCGTGGAGGAGAGTGGAATGGGTTGCTCTACAAGATGAAAAGAGCTAGAGAGATGGAAGGTGGTGATGCTGCCATGCTGGGAATATGTTTAATGAGATGCACACTTAAAAACAGTGAAGGCAGTACATTTTATGTATGTTTTACCAATTTAAAATCTGAAAAGAAACTGGTCCACCTTGATTTATCTCCTTTTAAGGCATGTGCTCTTGCTAAATAAACCACACCTGACTGGTCACATCATGTAGCCCAAGAGTGAACAAACTCTGGAACTCTTTCAACAGGCCAGGAGCCCTGGGTACCATCTCCAAGGACCCAGTCAAAAAAACTGTGAGCTCCAGTCACCCCAATGTCAATTGTTTTCTTAGGATTAGAATCAAGGAAGCTTCTTAGAAGGAGGTACTAGCTCACCAAAGATGGGGAGAGGTAAGTGCAGCAAATAGTCCACCTGCATGCACCCCAAGAAGCCTGCCCAAGAAGCTAAGACACTGATGCTTCCAGGCTGGTTAGTAAGCAGTCCCTACCCTGAGCCACTCCTCTTGGGATGTCCCCTCTCCTCAGCCACCCTGTTCCCACATCTGGCATAGGACAGGGTCTCAGGACCTCAACCTCACCTCAGCCCACTCTGAATCCAAATCTGAAAGCCATAGTGTTTATTAAATGCTTTGATCACCCTGGCCATAAGACAGCCCCTCTCCACTAATAAAAAGGGTGCATAAATGAAAGCCCAAGCCAGCACAAAGAGTGATCAGGGTTCTGAAAGGTAGAGGATCCCGGGGTGGGAGGAGGGAATTGGGACATATGAGCAAGAGGAGTTGTTTACAAGCATGAAATTGCCAAAGAATAAATAAAAGATACTCTATTTTTAAAATACATGAATTCTGAAAGGCAGACTTGTCCTTTCATTCCCACCTCTCCCCAAAGCCAGGAACACCCAGAGCCCAAGGAGGCCTGTTCTCAGCCATTCACAACACCCCACAATCACACTCATTATTGCACACTTTTATTTACAGAAAACACAAATAAAGCATTTCAATGTTCAGTTAGCAAACTGATTCATTTTTTTTGTCTTTTTTTTGGCACAAAGAAATATTACAGAAGGGACCCTAAGATCAATCAGAAACACCTAAGATTCAACAGTCATCACTGGTCCAGGGGCGTCCACAAGACTCAGACAAACAAAATCATCACAGATCAGGGGGGAAAAAAAGAAGAAATTTCACGTTCACCTCACAGTAAAAACCTGCTCACCACCAGGCAAGGGTGGGCAGGAGGGGTAGGTCCTCTGCTTCAACGGAGGGAGTGGGAGACTAGGGCAAGGCGCAGAGATGGGGCAGGGACAGACCTCTTTCAGGAAGAGGTGGCCCCTTTGTTTATATCCTCTTACCTTGAGAAAGTGCAAAAACTACAGTACCCCCGACCACTCATCCATTCAAAAAGCTGGAGAAGTTATGTGCTGGGGACGCCTCTCCCCTGTGCGTGTATGAATGTGACTGGGGTGCCTGTAAACATCGTCCCCGTCCACCGAGAGACCCAACATCCGTCCGTGCGCCTGAATGGGGTGGGGTTGGGGGCGCACACCACATCACGTGCCCTCTGACCCAATGATTCCCCAACTCCCCAGACGTAGTGCAAATTTCAGGGACAAAAAAGAGGCAGGAGAGGGTGGGGTAGGAAGGGGGTGGGAAGGACACACAGACAGGGTGGGAGAAGGAGGGGGAGATAAGGCAACAGTTAAAAATGGTCCACATTGGGTCCTCGCTGGCAAAACCAACGCCACCTGCCTCCCACCCCCACCACTTGCCCGGGTCACAAGAAAGGGCGGAAGTCGCGTTCCTCCACCAGGCTGATGGCTGGGTTCTTCAGCTCCTCCTCCGAGGTGGCCATCTTGTAGCCCAGCTGGGCCAGTACCTGCTGGCAGGCGTTCTGGGCGAAGGCCACAATGTCATAGGAGAGACGGAAGCGCCACTTCTCAGCAGTGGCTGCGGAGTTGCGCACGGTGCCATATTTGTGCTTGCCCAAGGTGGGGTCGCCACGTGTGTTGTTCTGGATCCAGCGGGCCACGTGACCATCCAGAGGGATGCCCAGGAAGCCGTAGATCTCCTCTGTCTTCTTCATGGGGTTCCTGGCCAGGTCCTCGTAGCGCACCAGCATGTACTTGCCCTTGAGCCACGAGGGCCGCATGAGGCCGGTGGACACAGAGTTGGAGAAGTCCTCGCACACTGTGGTCAGCTGCGTCACATCCAGGTTGTAGGGCTTCCTCCCAGTGCCGTACCAAAGGCGCCAGAGTCGGTACGTGTCCCGGAAGGTTTCGCTCCGGGAGGCCAGGATGCCACGCGGATCTCGGACTAGTTGGATGACCTTGAGGTTCAGCCTGGGGTCTTCAACCAGAGCTCTCAAGTCGTTCACCTCCGGCACACGCACAGTCTTGATGGCCACGTGGTTGCGCTCGCGGCAGGCCTCTGCCGCCACGGTCAGGTTCAGGAGGCCGCACTTGCGCACACAGTCGCCCTCCTCCAGGACCAGGTCGGGGGACCCCGGAGGGTCGCACACTGGACGGGAGCAGAGGACCCTGCTGGCACCTCGGCGGAAGACCCTGTCTGTGGTGTGGTTGACCGGGGGCGGCTTGATGTAGTTCTCTAAGAAGAACAAGTCACAGTCATACAGGCTCCGCAGGAGGTCACGGCTGGCGCCCAGCATGACCCTGCGGTCCGCAGGGCTCTTGCCCTGGGTGAAGCGGGGGATGAGTGTGTTCTGGACGTGGTAGAGGGGCTCAAACAGGTAGAAGACATCCAGGTGCTGATTGAAGAGCTGGCCCACAAAGGATGAGCCGCTGCGTGTGGTGGCCAGGATGAGGATGTGGGTCTTTCGAGAGACGTTGTAGGTGAAGGTGGGGCTCTCCTCGCAGAGACGCTCAGCCAGCCCTGCGTCGGCCAGCCCCGGGCAGGTGTGGAAGGACTTGGCAGTGAATGTGCGAATGGCCGTGTACTGAATGGCGATGGAGGCCAGGGCGAGGAGGAGGACGGCCTTCCAGGAACATTGCATGGCTGGGCACCGGCATGGGGCTGCTGCGCCAAGGCACAGGGTCTGTAGGCAGAAGACATGCAACATACCAGGTGCCTCGGGCACTCAGGAGTCTCCAGAGGACCCCAGAAAATACCTGCCTCCTACCCAGTGCTCACACACACAGCCCCAAAGCCTAAGAAGCCTACACTAGACTTTGCTGTTCTCTGGGAGTCCACTGGGAGCTTCAGGGGAGCTAAGCACCCTAAGATCTAACTTACAGATGGCTTCAGGGGTCTCCTATCCTAAGCTTGGATTTCCCTAGTAAGTTAATGGGCCAGGACCAAGGGCAGGGTCCAGGGGCTGCTGAGAAGTACTCTTGCCCAGGATTTAGGGCTTGCTTCTGGCTATGGAGCAGAGATGCATACTGCCCAGGAAGGGAAGCCCTGGCTCCTCCAAACCAGTCCTCTGGTCCTTTGGTCCACAGAAGGGGAGATGGGTAGGAGCCACAGGAAAGCAGGAGAGGGAAACGCATGCCATGGATCAGAGCAACATCTTGCAACTGGCACCAAAGGATGCTGGCTCAGCCATCAGGCCCTAAGAGACTACTAGGGCTACCCACAGAGCAAATGTTGGAGAGCTCAACACTTACCAAAAAGGGGCTCCACGCTGGAGAGACTTGGCTGCCAGTGCTCAGACCTAGCCTGGACAGGCAGTCCAGTGGTCAGAGCCTATGCCTCAGTTGGTAGCCAGCAGGCTGCAGAGACAAGGGAGGACAGGGCTTGTGAGGTTGGGCTTGGGCTCCCTGTGCCCCTCTCTCCTTTTTCTCTGTTCCCCTCAGTCTGCCCCCAGGATAGGCAGCAAAGGCCCTGCCTGCTTCACAGATTTATAACTGACTAGGGGCCTCAGCTGACCCAATGCCATCCCTGACCCCTGCATCCCACTTCAATCATCCACCTACCCCAGCCTTCCCAACAAGCCATGGTCCCTCTGCCCATACCAGAGCCCCTGTGGGCAGAGCTGCCTAGCATGTGTACCCAGATGTTAGGGGCACCAAGCCCAAACGGGTTCTGAATTTGAAATGAATGGAAACAAGCCTGACCTTTTAGAATTCAACTGGTTCGGTGATTAGGGGAGTAGGGGGTCACCCCAAGCCTCCAGGTCGAAAGGGTAGCTCCAAAGAGACAGCCAGGGACAGGGATTCTTCTTCCAAACCACAGGATATAAGCAATAGTTACCTGAAAGCCAGAAGCACATTTTACCAAGTTCCAGTAAAACTCCAAGACCAGAGATTTCAGTTAGCATTTACTAAGCGCTTCCACCCTTCTAAGCCTTTTACCAGAATGAGCTGGTTTGCTGCATAAACCAATAGCAGCCCAAGGCACAAGAGGAACCCAGAAGCATCTGCGCAGGCTCATGGCCTTCTTTAACCCCCATCTAGAGCCTATACACTTTCCCTCCAGGGCTTGACTCCTGTTCCTGTAGCTTAAGTGTACTTGGCTTTCAAACATGCATCCAATTCATAGCCCTAGCCCATTCATGAATCAGTGTGAGGGACCAGAATAGAAGGGGGTAAATCGATGAATTCTGAGACTTGCAATGCATGGTTTCCTTTGCCATCTGGTCTGTTTAGTCATTGGCTTGTGGCTGATGGGTGAACTTGGATCCTTCATTCACATTCTTCCTACAGTCTGCTAAGTGTCCTGACTCTTTTGGAAAACAGGTAAGTGGACTCCCGAGGGAACAGAGTTGCCTAGCCACTTCAGGTACCATGTCACTCTTTACAGATTGCTCTAGGAGGGCCTCATTCCCATTGCTCAAATGGGGAAACTGAGGCTCAGAGACTAAGGCAATAGGAGTGACAAACAGGCGATAGCAGAGGCCTGAGACTGTATGCATCAAAGGCAGGCCATCAGTCTGATCCCTTCATTATGGGCTCAGTGTCCTACAGAAGGACCTGTTCACCCAGGGACAGGCACAGAGCCTGGGCCAAGATGGCCATGGCCTGCTAAGGCTCTGGGCCTGGGAGTCCCATTTTAATTTTAAATGTGAAACACCAGGGATAGAGAAATGGCTCAGTGGTTAAGAACACTGTTCTTGTAGAAGACTCGAGTCTGAATCCCAGCACCCACATGGCAGCTAACAACTGTCCATAACTCCAGTTCCAGGAGATCCATCTCCACTACGTATCTTAAGGAAGATATGAGCGTCCCACACACTGCATGCAGCACACGTGTGTATGTGCACTATTTCTACATTACTTTCCATCTGTGCCGCACAGATGCCATCCACAGGCTTCATTTAGAAATGTTGTTTGAAAGACATGGCTGATGTGGGAAATCCAACATGGCTAAACAAACGAGTAATTCTAAACTCTGCTGACAAAATGGGGAAAGGCGGTAGTTCTGGGTATCAGAGTCCGCTCTAGTTCCAGGAGCAGTGACGTGAACATTCCCAGCCACTGAAAATGCTTCCTTACCTAGCATTAGCTTTCTGTTGAACAACAGGCTAAAAATTACTAAACTCATAAAGTGATTTCCAGCTCTAAAACTAAGTCTGTAAATAAAAGCCAAGGCCTGCTTTTAAGAAATCTCATTAAGGGCTAGAGAGATGGCTCAGCGATTAAGGACACTGACTGTTCTTGCAGAAGACCTGGGTCTGAATCCCAGCACCCACATGGCAGCTAACAACTGTCCATAACTCCAGTTCCAGGAGATCCGACAGCCTCTTCTGTCCTCTGTGGGCATTGCACGACATGGGTGCATTTACCCACATGCAGGCATAACACTCATACACATAAAATAAAAATAGTAAAATAAAATAATAAAATAAAATAAAATAAATACCATTTACCACATGAGGACTTGGTACCAGCCACCAAGTGATAGTAATTAGGGAAAAGCTTCAATCCGGAATATACCCATCCCATCCTGGCAAAGAACATTGCCATGGGGTGGTGGAGGAGCTGAGGGCAAACCCTCTCTGCTTGAATCCTGGGCCCCTGACAAGTGCAGGCCCACTTGGGCCAAGTGCCCCAAGGCAAACATAAGTGTCCTTCCAGGAGCAAATAGGCAGGGCACACAAGCAATGATGGGCAGGTCATCATTCTTAGTAGCCAAGGGCCCTCTCTTCAGTTGTGACACCACTGCATTTCTTCACAGGCATCTACCAGTGATCCAGGCCAGCAGGCACTATCCAGGAACTACAGGGAAGATACCAAGGAAAGTCAGCACTCAGGAGTACTCCCAGTCCTCCCATGTAAGTGCTCTACCCCCAGGCAGGTGTCCTGCCCTCACTGTCCATTGTCACCTCAAGCCTATGAGGGCAACATCATTGCAGCCCATTTGACAGAGAAAGAAGCTGATGCACCTTAAAGTACAATAGCTTTCTCAAATTCACGTCCCAGGAATGAGCAGACCAGGATCTCAGCCCAGGCTTTATGATCTGAAATCCATGTTCAGATCCATTTACTCGATCTGCTCTGATTCCTTCCATACTCCATCCCCTTTGGTTTCCACAAAGATAGGTAACAAATCCTTAGCATCTGCCCCTAACTCTACAATTCCAGTTCCAAAGACAGATACAGATTGGGTTTGAGAAGAGAGCCTTGAGAAGAGAGCCTTGCATCTTTCCCGGGAGGGGGGTCTGTTCAAATTTCTTCCCCACCTCTCTACCTGGAGAGACATAGACCAGGTCTAGGAGCTGAGGCTACACTCAATGACATCACTCCCTAAGATGGGAGAGTCCACTTTGCAAGCCTGGGCACTGTGGAGGCCAGTTTGAGGTCCAGCTGAGGGCCATGTGCCCACCTCCCAAGGAGGGCACAGCCAGGGCATGAGAACAGGAAGGAGGACTTCAGACCCTCCTGGAACTGCCTTGCTCTCCTGCCAGCCTGGAAGAGCCAGGCTCAGAGCTGGCCAAGGGTCCTTGGTATGCTGGCAGCATCTGCCCTGGAAACCAGAGGCCCCAGCGCCAGGTCCTGTTGTTCCTGGGGAAGCCTTGGCTACTGCAAGAGACTCCTGAATCCCCTGGTCCTCCAAGCCAGACTGTAAGGCCCAGGCCCCTTCCTGGGCTTACAGAAGTTTCTAACATGGCCTCCCTTCTTGGTCAAAATCTTGGACACAAGAGGCCAGAATCGGACCTTCCTATTGGGAAGCAGACTAGTGACCATCCAAGACAAGGCTCAGACTCGAGTGCCAGGGCCAGGATACAAGTGGAGAAGAATGCTATACTAGAAAACTCTAATTTGCAGGTAAAGCTCAAGTTCCCCGGTCTGTGTATCAGTCTGCAGTGCGCACCCGCTGGGTACGCACCTGCTGCCTCTAATCCCCATTTCCCCAACTATAAAGAGGGGATGTAACCACAGCAGTGGACAGAACTGTGCCTCATGGTTGATGAGTGACTTCTGGCACCAGCCCTATGGACCCTAGCACAGCTATTTACGTGCTGTGGGACCTTGGCTAGATTTCCTCATCTCTCTGGGCCTGTTTTCTCACCTGCCAAATGGTTGGTATTCTCATTAATGTCTCTTTTTCTCTTGAGGAAACACCTCAGAACTACTCACCCTGCACCCTCAGAGTCTGCTCTGACAGAGAAAGACCTCTGTAGGGCTCTGCTCACCACCCCTATTTCAGACCCCCCTCCCTGCCTGAACTTTTTGTGCTGGGTTTCAGGATGGTTTGTCTTCTTCCCTCTAGTGGCCAGGCTTGGAACTGCCACCTTCTAGCTCTTTTTGTGATGTTGGGAATTCTGGCCTAAAGGGAGGCCACAGCGTGTAGCCAGGTGGGAGGTCTGATGATGGTGTCCTCACTCAGGCTTGCTTCTGCTCCGTGGAGCCCTCTTCCTTAGCCCCACAGCAGGAGGCAAGCAGCAACAGACAGCCTGGCTTCTCCCCTGGTCTCTCTGCATTCCTGCTTGCTGCTAGGAGAATGTGAACCCGTGTCACCATAAGGAGTGACCCACAGCCTCTGCCTGTCCCTGAGTGGCAGTGGGCCTGGTCCCCGACCTCTCTGTGCCTATGGTTTTCATAGAACCAGTGACAAGGGACTCACTACTTCAGGAGGGACCCCCCACTCTATGTTACAATCACAGCAGAGGGAATTTTCTGTGAACCGTGGGAAAACTCAAGTCACTTTCCAGAAAAATCAGAAACTCTGCCTCCTTCACCCTTGCCACCTCCAGTCTGACCACAGACTGCCCCCATGGGGCCCAAGGACCCACAGGATGTGTCCTTGACCACGTCCCTCTTCCCGCCCTACAGGCACCTCAGGCAACTACAGTGTGGTTGTTCACCTCTCCTGGCCCACGTGCCTCTTAGAAACACAGTCCCTCTTCCCAGAAAATGCCATCTGTGCCGTTTTACACATGGAATTTTGACCTCCTGAAGTCAGCGCACAGGCTACTCCTCTCCTTCTCATGGGTTGGACCCTCTCAATACTGACATTTCCAACCTGGGGTTGTCTTTTTAACTGATAAAGTGGAGAAGGCTCACAGAAGTGAGCCAAAAACACCGAGTCAAGAAAGCCACAAAACACAAGTGTCTGTCTATGTGTCTGTTGAGGGACTCTCAAAGGAGGATATGCACTTACTGCATAAACCATCCCTAAAATCAAGTCAAGTTTAGTTCCCCGAGGGGAGGGGAGGGGCAAGAGCCTGGGAGACAGAGAACACAGTTTACACCAAGCTTTGAGTTCATCTTCTTTGTGGACATGGTGACCTCATCCCCATGGAAGAGCTGGAGCAGTGGCTGAAGATGAGATGGGGCACTGAAAACCAGTCCTAACACCACCTCACCTTAGCACTGGTGCTTCCTTCCCTGTCCCCAGGACCCTGCCTGCCAGCCTTCCTCCCACCTCCCCCCCTCCAACTTTTCATCACACCTGGTCAAAGCTTCTGCCTTGCCTTATAGTCAAGAATTCTGGTGGGCACTAGGGACAGTAGCTGACTAGAAGCTGCTGAGGCAGGGCAGGAAAAGCAACAAGCAGGGTCTACCTGAGGGCTGCTGGGAGCCGTTGAAGCTAAACTTAGAGACTTGACTTCTTTTCCAGACTTTTCTCCCTAAAACACTTTTATAAAAGCCAAAGCGGAGGCTGGGGAAGGCAAGAAGAGAAAAATGAATGTGAGTATATGCTGTATGGTCAAAGTCATGGCAGAGGGGTTCCAAGGCTCTGGGGTGTCAGGAATCCCAGCAGGAGAGAGGGGAACTGGGCAGGGAAGGAGTTGGCTGGATGGGAACTTCGAGACAGATATGTTTAAACCCTGGGTCTGTAGTAGCCAGCCCTGATCCACCATAGGTGTTTGTTTAGTTAAGGCTAAAAAGCAAAAGAGCAAGCATTTTTTTCCCTCCCAAGAAAAATGAGGTGATAAAAACAAGGCAAGAGGAAAACAAGAATATGAAAGTTTAAAAAATACGGGAGCCAGGTCAGTTATAAATGCCAAATGACTTGTATGGATCAGAGCTTCCTAGTAGTCAATGGGAAAAGGAAAATAGCTCATTTACATGTTTCAGAGGATCCATGAGATAAAAGTTAAAGAATGTAATCAAAAGATATCCCGATAATAGATGTCTTGATCACAAGATCTCTCAAGAGGTATCTGAAGCCACACACTACCACGAGCCCTAAGAACCCATACCTAATAACAGCCAATGACAAATTCCATGGGGGCTGTGTGCTAAAGCATCCTTCAGGATGGGCAGCACACAGCTCAGCCAGCATGACCTTCTGGGGACAGTGACCAGCCCAGGGCTCACTAGAGGCAGAGGAATCCCCCTTGGGGCCACGCACACCTCCACTTTATCATTGGTAAAGTCTACAGGTCCTTCCCACAGGATCTGCTTGACACAGCATGGTATTTGTGTCTACCTAGAGTTTTTGGGCCCCATAGGCAGAACCTTTGTCATGTATCCCCAAGGAGGGCAGGTCTCATGGCCAGGGTTCCCATGACAACCACATGGACAGTCACTCACTGGTCCACCATCATTCCACCATAGGCAGCGCTGCCTGTATGATGGTTGTCTCTAAGCAGGACACTCCAGTGTCCATGGGTGATGGCTCTGAAGATACCCCTGGCTGCTCAATCCACCTTGTAAAGTTTCCACAGGTACTGGAGGAAGGCCCTGAATGGAGACGCTGGGTGGGAACCCCATGCCAGCTGCCTGATGGCTCAGAAGCCTTGAGCCAAATGCTCAGCCTGTTGCTTTGAGGTGTGAAATGGGAGAAGCCATCACAGACAGAAGCCGTGGATATGGACAGCTCAGCACAGCACTGGGTACAGGCAAGATTCGTAAATGAGCCTCCATGGGTATGAATTTGAGGGTTCCCCTAGGCCTTAATGAATCCTGGTCTGGAAACAATCACAGGTGCTAAAGGACTCGCTGCATGCAGCCTTCCATGGATGCACCACAAACGTATAGCTGTAGACCCACCACCACCACTGTCTAGCCTGCAGGAACCTCAGCTGCTGAGGGAGTTACCTCTCTGTCCTATGCCCAGTGTCCTAGGAACAAAGTCCTCCCCGCTGCCAGGAGAGTGGCTGCCCTCCTGCACTGGGTACAAGGGCCTAGTGTGCAGGATCCTGGGGAGGGATGAGTCAGAAGGCGGGCCCCTGTCTCAGCCAAACCAGCCTGTGAAGGGCGGGACTCTGCTCCCCCAGAACTAGGCGGAAGGCCCTGGGTTTCCTGCCCCCTCCCCCAGTGCAGCCAAAGCCAGTCGGAATAGTACCAAGGCTCCACCCCCTGTTTGGCTAGAGCTTTGGTCATCCTCCCAGCTTCAAGGATGAGAAAATATCAACAGGAGCTTGAGCACCCACAGCTGTTCTGGCAGCTGAAGAAGGTCCTCCTGTCCCAGGAACCCTGTCTCCCAGAGTTCTAGCCACCTGCATGAGGCCCACCTGCCCTGAGGGCATAAACCATGGGCAGGGAAGGGGCACCAAGGCTCACCTGAGCCTGAGACTTAGGTGGGATAAAGCCAAACCAAAGAGATGATCATGGATCTGGATCCCACACAGGGCTGTTCTGCCAGATGAGTAGAAAGGTTCAGGCAAGTGGGAGCCAGTCCAAGCTGGAGCAGTTAGTCTGCAGTAAGGCCAGGTATACCCACTCAGCTGTGAGGACTGCAAGCCCTGGCCATAACCACAGAGCTTAAACTCCAGGACACACCACACCTGGCACTGGGCAACCAGAGGGCAGAGGCAGGGAGCACC